CCCCCCCCCCCCCCCCCGTTTTCCATCCAAGGAACAACACAGCCCTCTGTGGAAATTGACCTGGGGATTAAATCCCATTGACCGCCACCTGTAAAAATGCTCAGATCAGGCTGGGTTTTGGATTGTGGAAAAAGTCCTGTCCAACTTATTTGGGCTCATCCTGCAGGAAGCATATTGGGGACTCTACCACAAGCCCTTCCTGTATTAAATGGGTCGTGTGGGATTAGAAGCTGCAATTCTCTGCTCCTGGTGCTTCAGAATAACTGTCGGCACGCAGTGGGACACAGTTGAGAGTAAGCACAGCTAGAATTACCCATGTGCTGTTTGCTACTCCATCGGATCTGTGTTTTCCCTGAAGACCCCTGCTTTTTCAATGGGGCTGAGTTCCAGATTAGCATGACCAAGAATTGCAGCCTTGCATGATTCAAAGAGGAAAGTCCCTCTGTGTGTGTGTGTGTGTGCATGTGTGTGTTTTAACATAACTCCTAGATTTAAGCTGTGGATACAGATCTATGTGGCATGCTCCCTTTGGACATGGAATGTGGTGTGTGGGCTAATCATAAATGCCTTCTCAGACAGATAAAACAAGAAGACCCTTCTGTTCTCCACCCCCCACTTAAAAAAAATACCAAATGTCTTCTCCATTATAGGAGGACTATTCATGAGAAACACTGTCCAGGAACACAGCGCATTCCGATTTGCTGTACAGTTATACAACACAAACCAAAATTTCACAGAAAAGCCATTCCACTTGAATTATCATGTTGACCATCTGGATTCTTCCAACAGTTTTTCAGTGACAAATGCATGTAAGTAGCTGGCTGAATTTTCTTACAATAGCAGGTGCCTGCTTGTATTTCAACCCGCTTCTGTTCTCCCATCTAGCCTTCTCCTCTTTCTACCCCAATATTCAGAGCTGCAGTATGATAGAGAAGAAACTGTAATGCAACAGCCCAGCGTAAGGAGAAATTAATTTATTTTGCAGGGCTTCCTGTGTGCCAGTTACAACAAAATGGGTTGATTGTTATTGACCAAATATGGACCGGTTTCTCTTCCTTCCCCTAAAGCCCTTTAAAGGCTAAGGCAAAAAGATACATATGTTCGTTGTTGGGGTTTATATAAATGTACGTGCAGCATTGGTGGGGGGCATTATTTTACAAATCATGTGTTTGGGGAACAAACGTGGAGGCTGTTGTTTCAAGTGACCTTGGGAATGGGACCGGGAAAATGGATTTTTGCCCTTCTTCTGCCTTAAAATAGCCTTTCTCCTTGCAGAGAATGTGTGTGTGCACATACGTGTGTGTGAGAAACCGTGAGAAGACAATACAAACTGATGGACGCCCTAGGAACTGGAGGGCAGGGAAAGAAATAGTGTAGAAAGCTTTGATGGGCTGGAAAGAAAGGAAGAATTAGCACCACAAATGCATCCCCATTTTTCTTCTTTGGTGTGCCTACTGTTTTGCCCTGTCTCCTCCTGGGCAATCAAAATAAGAAGGGATAGAGTGGGGTTAAGGAAAACGAATCAGCTGATGTTTGATGTGCTGCAGCCGATACACCAAGTCCAATTAGGAATGTCCCATCTTAATTTTAGCACATGCGGTTTTGTTTGGGAGCAGGAATATTGATACAGATATCTTAGGGCCAAAGTCTGGGGCCCCTTGCTTAGGGGCCCAGTCAGCTGGAGAATGGGAAATGATGGATAAGCAGTCAATGAAGTCAGTTTCAGCACTGGGTTGGGGTGGGTATGTTGGGGCCCCAACCCAATGGCACCTGGTTAATGCAGCATCGTTCCCTTCAGTCATATGCATGAACGAACACCCATCTTAGCACGTACACATATCATAGCATATGGATGGCTACCGTTTCTTGTTTTATTGACTTGCTTTACTTGTAAGGATTTACGTGCATGTGCACACACACACTCGCGCTTTCCTACAGGTCACACCACTGAGTGGCAGAGCATCAGATCAAGATCTGTCTGTTTTCACAGCCTTTCTCAAAACCCCGAAAATTGGTTCAGGAAGCTGAGAATAGAAGAACAGCCTTATGAAATGCTTCCAGAAACCTTTGCTGCCTTGAAATAATGTCTTTTTAAATTTAAATAAAAGGCTGGCACTTATATTTACTCCTTCCAGTAGCGATTGTGTTATCCCCATAACACTAGAGTCCCACCCCAAGATGGACTATGGTGAAATAAGACTTGTCTGAAGTTGCTCAATATTGGGAATTTGAAATTAAATCTCTCCGGTCTCTTATAGCCTCCTGTTCACTACACTACCCTTCTCTAAACAGTCAACATTAACAATGTGTCTGGGCCTGTTAGGAATTCTGGGAGATGTACTCTCAAGACTTCTGGAGGGCCCCAAGGTTGCGGAAGGTCGTGCTACAAGTATTGTTGTGATATAGTTATTCCTCCATCTATTTTGACCCTTTTCTTTTTCCATGGCTGCAAGCAGATTAAATTTGACCCAGCCATTGATCCTGTTAAAGTTTAAAAAAAAAAAAATAATGTAGTCAATACAGTTTCCTGCCAACATTTCTACTAGAACTTTCAGCTCAAATTACTGGTCGCAATGGGAGAATAAGAAGATATTCCTGAAACACGTAACACTGATCAGATCATAGATTAGGTTGAATTTGGAACCCCCACTTAACCAAACTTTCTGCAAGCCAATGTCAGCAAGGGTGACCAGCGCTTTCATCAGGTCACTTGGTGTCTTTACTTGTGCTATAGAAATGGGTCTGCTGGTCTCTGAAACTTCAAACGCTGCTCAGCTGGCAACCTTTGTGTGTGTATGTGTGTGTGTAGGGGGGGGGTGGAGAGTTAAGATACCCAACACAAATTATGTCTATATTTGGAGTGTGATAAGACCATGCAAAGATTCAGTTGAGAAATTCTCTTTAAATGAGATTTGATTGTATGTCCAAATCAAAAAGATTTTCTGGATTGGATTGGATCAGATCAAATCAGATGTGTTCAAATCAATTTGAAAATTTCAAAGGCATTGGTCCAGGGATAAAAGCTGTTTTTTCCCTGAACCTCTTCAGAAGATGGAATCAACCCAATTTGATGTTTCAAACTGAAGCATGCAGTTGATTTGATTTTCCAGATGCGTGTGGATTTGAATCATTCAACTTTACTTGGGAATAAACACCACTGAACATAACAAATAAAAATTTCTCTGATCCAGTGCTTCCTAGACATATGCTTCAGGAGGGCCTTCCAGCAGATCTTGGACCCCCTAACCCATCAGCCACTCTTTTGAGCTACCTTTCTGAGTCAAATATATTTTGTTAAGCCCTCTCCAAATTCAGAAGCACTGTTCTTAAGTCTAGCCAGGTTATTTTGACCCCTCAGGAAGGGGATCCCATGAATTCTGCCTTCTATGGCAGTGGAAATATAACAATAATCAATAACAATTTGCTGTCTTTCCTTGATATTCCAGATTAGTTCCCCTTCTTCTAATTCCAGTCCTGGAAATTTTGTTGTTAACCATTCTTACAGGGAAGCAGTACCTTGGTGATTCAACTGCCAATCAGTCTGAAATTGAATGATATTTATACAGTGTCAGTCAATCTAAAATTGAGCTGTATTATATTTATATACTCAGTAGAGTTATGTGACTTGCTGTAACAATGCTTTGACCTTCCTTGGTGCATCCTTCTTCCATCTGTAACCCAATTAAAAAACAACACAGATAACACATGAAAGTGGATCTTTGACATCATTTAGGCTACAATCTGCATGCACTTCCTTAAATCTAAAGCCACAGCACATTTAACCAGGTCAGAGAGTGACCTAGTGGAGTGATTGGAAGGTTTTGGAAGGCTGACCATGTTGTGTGAAGCTAGCCCATCTCATTCATTTGTGGTTCAGTCCATTGTGTGAATCCAGAAAATGGGTGAATTCAATCCACAGGCTTAAGCGTGTTGTGTGAGCATAGCTAGTGGGTTTGATTTTAGAGAAGTATTGGTGGATATTGTTGGAGTATCTTGATTATGTCTTATTATTTTATTCAGCTGAATATGCAGGCAAGACAGGGATTGGCCAATCATTTATTTCCATTGGGTTGATGTGCAATGGCCACATCTGGAAACTTTTGGGGACCATAGCAGACTTTCTCCCCTACCAGTAGAACTCCAGCTGGCTGTGGGTTCTGCATATGTGATGCTAGCCCTACTCCTGAGAAAGAAGGAGGGGGAGGAGGAGGGGGAGGAGGAGGATAATATTTGGGCTGTGCTTCTTTCCTTCCCTAGTATTGGTGGGAGTTCATTGTAAATTTTTAGTTAGCTTTAGAACTTGCATCAGTTTTCAAGTTTTATTTTTTTATTTCTTCCTAAAGAAACACCTCTCATGCATATCATAGACATTTGGGATGCAGTTTTCCCTAAACTACACCTTATTCTTATTTTTTTAAGCATCTAATATAAGCCATTTTGAGATGCAATTTGTCTGAATGTACATATGTATTTGAAACTCAACTTGTTTCACCAAATTTGAAGATAACAGCATAAACACTGTAGGACCTGTTTGGTTTGAGTAGTGGCAAATACAACTTATATTAGTTCATATTAAAATACAACACAAAATTCTGTCTCATCTCTACTTGTAGGATAGGTCTCCCCTACATGTTCTACTAGGAGAATCTCTGTTTTAGCAACTATGCAGCTAGAAAGAGAGCTATTACTTTCTATTTTGTGTTGATTGGAGTGGTGGACGTGATATTCAAAGTCTTGGAGACTTAGTAAGAAGTTAGGGGGCAGAATAAGTCTTGCTTTACACTTTGGTTTTGGGTGTCCCAATTCCACTGTTCCAATCATCTGTCCAAAGCAAAATTTGAAGGTACCTAGAGGCAGAAGGTATGTGTTTTCTCTTCAAATTGGAATGTAATTTCCAGAAAGGTCCAAAGGTTTTTTTGATATGACCAGTGAATTATCTCATAGTTGCATTTGGAAAACCCTCCAACAAAGAAGCTCTGAAACTTTTTATTTTGAAGGTTCTCCAATCAAATCTTTATTATGGTCAAAGACCAACATAAGAAAGGTGGGGTACAATCCGTATTTTGAAGGTTCATCCAATGGTAACAAGTCACATGTAATTTCCCCCACATTCCATTGATTGCTTGTGATACATTACATAGATCTGTGTATTCTGTGGGGTTTTCTTAATCTGAGGAATGAAGTAGATTCGTATCATTTGCCTATAATCCAGAGTTCTGGAAATGGCAGTAATAGCCAACCTTTTATTTAGCTTTTAATGATGGTAACGCACTAAAATGGCCACCTATTTTTAATTATTGCTCTGCTATTACTATTAAGGATCTGGTGTTTGACCAATATGGAATACAACATCATCGTCTATGATCATTGGCATGCTGGTAAATGCTGATAAGAGTTAGGGACACTGACATATAGAAGGCCACTGCTGTTTTATAGAAGAACAAAAGACCTCTGTTGGTTGAAATCATAGGGGTGCCAGTCCAGGGACCCTCTTTTTCTAGCTGTGGCCAGATGAGTTTTTTTCTAGGAGGCTTAGCTGCAAAGCTAAATGTCCCTATTGGTTTATTTTAAATGTCCCAGGATTTGTAGGTCCCACGCCTTGGACTATGACAGTTCCTCATAGATCAATGGGATGGTTAGAACTGCCATCTTTGTTTTCCTTGCTCAAATTAGCCAGCATTGCAGGGCAGCGAATGCCCTAATTGAAAGATTCTTCGGGGTGAAGATGACATTTCCATCCATTTGGCAATAACTCCTCATCAGATGAATTGATTTCAGGCAGACAGTGCCCAGTTCTAACTTTTTATGA